GTTGCCTACAGCACTTTTAAATTTGAAGTCCAATCAGAAAACAGAAGCTAAGTTATAAAGCCCCATGAAGCCCCAATAAAAATGACACTGAAAGTTAATTTACCATACCACCACCTAATAATGAATATCCCCATCCCATGTGAACAGCAAATAGATAACTGTGTTGTTCTGTGCCATGTGTGAGTCTTTATAGTAGACCATTATAGACAGCTCCTGTTACTGAAATGAGGTCTGATAAACTCACCAGATAAATCTCAGCTGATAATTAAAACCACCTCATTTTAATTAAACAATATCATATCGCTTTCTTTCACATGCAAATTTCAGTCCTTAGTATTCATTCCCCAGGAGATTTACATCTCTCCAACACAAATGACAGGGTTATATTTTTCTCAAACAGCAACAGTTTTGTTGCACAAAGACAGGAGCCTGACATCAGCAATCAGATAAATGTATACTACTCTATGTCAAATCCTTATTAAAACTCACTCAAACTTTTAATTGTCCACCTTTCTTTTTCACAGTGTTAGTCATGTCAATTGCTTTAAGTGTAACTGTGGTATGCTACAGCTACCAGGAGCAGAGGTACGAGGGATCTCATTGTACATGTTAAATGTTTAGAAAGCTATCAATCAAGGCCTTGACTTATAGAAAAAAAATGTTGGGCTTTGAAAGTTTTGAATGGAATCTTGTGCAGCTATTGGTCACTGGAACAACTGAATCTACCAATGCTTCAGTTTTTTAAACCCATTTGCCAAAAAAAAAGTGTTTGTTCCTGCAAACTACTGATATGTTACAATTTTTGTTTTATATGTAGTGGATATGTTGAAACTTTACGCTTTAGACATAAGACCTGCTTGGTTAGGACCACTTGATTAGGTTGCTACAAACATGGCTTAGAATACCCCTAAACTCTTGTTAAAAAAATACAGCGTCTATCACTACCAACACACCTAAAAATGCCCCAAACTCTCATCAAAAATTCTCACTTAAGTCACTACAAGCACAGCTAGTAATATGCTGAACTCTCATTAAAAAAATCTCCCTTTTGTCACAATAAACTCACCTAGAAATGCCCTGAACCGTTAATAAAAATACTGGCTTTTATCACTACACTACACAGCTAGAAATATCCTGAGCTCTCATAAAAAATTTTTTTTTAAAAAAATCCTCTTTTGTCACTACAAACACAGCTTGAAATGCCCTTAACTGTCAATAAAAAATATTCGCTTTTATCACTACAAACACAGCTAGAAATGCTCTGAACTCGCATAAAAAATACCTGCTTCTGTCACTACAAACATGGCTGGAAATGCCCTGACCTGTAGTTAAAAACATCAACACTTTTGTTGGTCTCAACAGTGGTCTGCTTCTGTCTGGTGCTTGGCAGTTGTCTCACCTATCTGTCAAGTCATTCACTATCCCCTCCTCCTCCTGATGAGAAAGTCACCTCATAAAGATGTAATCTCAACTACGTCATACATGTGAAACATACAAATGTAGCATATCTGTGGTTTGCAGGAACATGCAGAGCAAACATTTTATTCTACACACACACACACACACACACATACACACACAATGCTAGCATCAGTAAAATATATCTTAGGGGAAACAAAATGGCTTTTAGTTTCCCCTTTTATATCAGTCAGCTTGTCCTTGTTTCCCTGCACTGTACCCATTACGCACGTGTCTGCTGTGTGTGCCTTGATGTGTGTGTGTGTGTGTGTGTGTGTGTGTGTGTGTGTGTGTGTGTGTGTGTTAGGGAGGGAGGGGATGCTGTCATCTTCACACAGGATCACGGGATCCTCTCCCTCTCTGTCTCTACTGCTGCAGAAATCCTCCCATCTGTCGTTCCTAATCAGCAGAGAGCAGCTTGCATGTTCACAGGGTCTTATTGTGGGATGACATCTCTCTCTCTTTCCCTCCCCTTTTCGTGCTCTCTTTCTCTCTCTCTCTCTCTCTCTCTCTCTCACACACACACACACACACACGCACACACATAGATTACACTAATACTGACACAGCAAAGCAAACTGCAGCATCACATGCCCTCCTGGCCGTTACTGTTTACAGTTTGTTACGCTGCTCCCCAGTGGCCAAAAAAAGAAATCTATTTCTTTAAATGCATCATTTTTAAAACTACAGTCCAGTGTAGCATCATGTGAGTGAATGGTTTCATTTGTTTTGGTGAATATTTGCTTCTGTTAGTGATTCAAGTGATGATGCATCTTACCAAATCACAACGTATGTGTAGTTTTGGATAACTACTAATCATCTTGTTCTTTTTACTGTTATGTACTTTTTCTATGTAATTTAATGTCTTACATACTGGCCATAACATGGTATGACTCAGTGGAGTGTTAAAAGCCAGAAATCTCAGCAGCTGGCCAAGTAATTGCTGAGTCATCAGCATTAATCAATAACCCTGTCAACCTGCCGCAGATATCATATGACCATTTTGTGCTACGGTGCAGAAATAACCCACACTTACTCTCCATTTGAGTAAGATCTTTCTGAAAAATGAGGGATGTGTTGTGTGACTAGTGACGCTGTGGGTTTACATGAGATTTCCTGCGAGTCTCAAAAATCCCTGCAGCACAATCTAACAATAGCTGCTGTATCACAAGACGACCTCTCAGAGGTATTGTAGCATAAGGAAGATAAAAATAGTACTTTCTGTCTCTCCATCTCTCTGTCTGTCTATCCAGTGAAAGTGCTAATCTCAGGCTCCCTGCATAGATAACAGACACAGAGGCCGAGCTGTGTCTGTGTTTGACAAGAGAGTGCAGAAAAAAGTGACAAGAAAGGAAAAACAAAAAAAGAAAGTGTGGGATAAAGAGAGTAGAAAGAGTCAGACAAGGACAAAGGAGAGGGGCAGTCAGAAAAAGCTATTGAGACAGAGTTACAATCTTCAGTTCAAATCTGAAACAAATAACGTATCCGCATACAACGGTTCATATAATATTTAATTAATTAGCACCCATTTTCACATTACATACTTAACATTAAGCTATGTAGGCTAGGTTTAGGAAAGTGAAGTTAGGTAGGTTAAGTTTAGGAAAGTAAAGTTGGGTAGGTTGGATATAGGGAAGTAAAGTCACGGAGGTTAGGTTTATGAAAGTGAAGTTACGTAGGTTAAGTTCAGGAGAGTGAAGTCATGTATGTTAGGTTTAGGAAAGTGAAGTTAGGTAGGTTAAGTTTAGGAAAGTGAAGTTACATAGGTACAGTTTAGAAAAGTAAAATCACAAAGGTTGGGTTTAGGAAAATAAAGTTAGGATGGCTAGGTTTAGTAAAGTAAAGTTACTTAGGTTAGGTTTAGGAAAGGGAAGTTATGTAGGTAAGGTTTAAGAAAGTAAAATCACAAAGATTGGGTTTAGGAAAGTAAAGTTAGGTAGGTTGGATCTAGGAAAGTAAAGTCACGTAGGTTGGGTTTAGGGAAGTAAAGTTACATAGATTAGATTTAGGGAAATTACATAGGTGAGGTTTAGGAAAAGAAACAAGGTGATGACATACCTAAAATAACTCAAAGTTTACCAGGTTTCAGACACTGCTGTCCTGGGGGAAGGTTCTATGTTTATTTAACACATCTACCACCCCAACCTACATCCTTACTGTACGTTCACACCAGAAGCTTCCAAAGAGGCAAAGTCTGTCGCGGACGCCCAAGAAGCACGACTGTCAAAAATATTTGTGGCAGCTTTGGTTGCTCTAATAGCTCATCATGTGAATCATTGAACGTTCGATCGTGCTTGTCAATTTAAAGGAGCCGCAAAGCGGACTACTGGCCTGAAAGCAGCATAGTTGCTGTTGTCCAGTCAAAAAGCTCACAGTTGGCCAACAGAAAGTTATGTTTGGTCAATGAAAACAGAAAACGTATGTCATCCCATTCAAACCAAGCAAAGAAGACTTGCATGCTATGTCGCAACATTAGCCTGCAATTCTCTCCTCTATTACTAACATTACACACTTTAAAACTCACCAGACCAACCAACTACTTCCGCGACACTGTCCCACTCCTCATTCTTCTTATTTTGGTCTCTGTAACTGAACAGTGATACATTATACAGGACTGAGTGGGCACGAACGCAAGTTATCAACTTTATCCATTGTCGGAACAAGTGTGTTTTAGGAACCAAAGTTACATGGCTTGTTCTCTGGGACCCGCTTCATCGAAGCACGTCAGCATTCTGATTGGTTGCCGCCAAACTGTGTCAGAGCTCATTACCATAAAGTTGAACAAGTTTTAACTCCCCTCCGGAGCTGCTACGGTCGCTTTGGTTGCCCAAGACGCGCGGCTGACGACCAGGTCGCCCAAGTCACCGGGCTCTCATTGAAAATTAATGACTTCTGCCGCCTTGGAAGCTCTATGCACTGTTGGTGTGAACATACAGTTATGAGAACTCTTGCTCTTTCTACTACTCCTGTCAGCACATTGGTCATGTGATCACAGCCCTTCTGATTACATAGGTTATATTATACAAATTACTGGCTCATGATTATGTGGGTTATATACAAATTCTGGTGCAAAACTTTTCATAGGTATATGTACAAACAGTGTAGTGAGAACAGCCTGGTAAAAAACTTTTGCTACAAACATTGTAAGTGTCTCATTATCAAAGAAAGGCCATAATATACCAATGGTCTACAATCATACATGGTCCAGGATATGACTAATATACAATGAAGCAAGAGGATGTGCAGTTTTTTACCTACGGAAAGAGATTTTTGCTATTTCTGAAGTGATAGAATTCAAATAACTCCACTAATGTTGAGCCCACTTAAAAAACTCAGCGGATTGCAAGTAAGCACCTACTCTCTGTAGTTAGAAGAATACTCATGTCTGTATGCTAAATATGAAGCTATATCTGAAACATTTTACAAGGACGGATTAGCTCTTATGAGTCAAAACCACTGTTCTTTCTTACCTTCAGCTCTAAATCACAAAGTGCTTTGTTGATTTATGAAGTGACCGTCTGTTTCATCCCCTCTCCTCTCAGGTCTATCCTGTATCCCTGTCCTGCCACCACGCCGGGGTTCCTTCTATGTGGAGAGCGGCACAGGCGTGTCGATTGGTAGCGTGTTGGCCTTCTGGTGCAGAGAAGGATACCAGCTGGTCGGCAGTGACAAAATCTACTGCAATGTCAGGAATGGCAAACCGCAGTGGAGCAACTACCTGCCCGTCTGTGAAGGTGAGCGATTCATTTGGCTACAAATGCACGCTTGACAGTCATTTTCTTGGGATCTGCTGATTCAATAAATCTTTTAAAATGTAATTCATTCCCACAGCGATCCCCAGACCTGAGGACCGTGGTCTGAGAGTGGCTGTGTTGGCTTCAGTGGTGAGTGGCATTGTCATCCTGGCCATGTCCCTGTCCTTCCTTATCTGCTGCCTGCAGGAACGATCCAGTCGGGACCGAGCCAAGAAAGAGGGACGAAGCAGGTAGGACTGACAAAAGAAGTAAATATTTTTCTCAAATACCAACAGATATCGGTCTGACGAGCCTCTGGAGGCAACAGTCAATATTTTGGGGATTTCAATGTAGCCAAGATATCAGAATATCAGGGTCAAAACTACTTCTTTGGTGTGCCGGCCATTGTTTACAGAGCAATTAGCAATTTGAGACGCAAGAATGCAATTGGAGTTGAGAGATGTCGCAACGAGCGAACTGTCTCACAAGTAACCAGCTTATAAAGCTACATAATTGTCAGACAATAGCCAATGATTCCAAAATTGCATTTCTGCCTCTTTTGCTCTCCACATAAACTGTTTATCTAAGTGCAACCAAAGCCCTCAAACATGATTGGTCAGAACTACTTGGACTACAAACGGACTACAAACAGAAACCAGAATGCTTAACAAAATCTTGTCCCATTGCTTACGGATTCTGCATTCATATTAAATAGAGCTTATCCTCGATATAACCCCACCTGTTACATTTAGTTCTCAAACTTTCTCTCTGCTATATGAAGCCTACTGAGCTGACTAAGTTCTCTCCTCCTCAGGCGCAGAGAGAAGCGCTCGGCCCGCCGCAGCGAGTGTTGGCTAGAGAGAGAAGAGGGAGAATGGGAAGCCTTCCCTCCTCCCAAGATCTTCCATCTCTCCCAGAGGATGAACCCCCGTCTGGCTCCTGACAGCCCCCTCTACCTGACTGGGGGGCTTGGTGGATATGAAAACAGAGGATACCAGAGGTAAGCTGGCAGAGAACCAAATACATCATGAAGGTGTATGTTTTAACAAATGCATATAAGCAATGTCAGTCTACTGTTATCCTAAACAAATTTGATATTTATTCCTACAAATCATAATGTGAAGATGTTTCTGTTCACCAAGTTTCATAGTAATATGTTTGAGCTAAGAAGAAACAAAAGGACAGAAGGTTTAAGTCTATAGACTGTACTCAGGGCAAATGTTTGACACAAGCAAACCCATCATCTTACACATGTCTGCTTCCCAAGATCGAAATACACGGGTATATAACATGACAACATGCAAATACAAAATCGATAGAGAAATTTGTCTATGTCATAGAGCTCCATTGCTGTCCAAAAACTATTAAAAACACACTGTTGCACTGGCTGACATAGTCCTTCATTACCATGAACACATACTATAATTTTGAGTGAGTCCCACACACAGAAAGTCGTCCCTAACATATGCACCATTTTCCATGAAACTTTGAATTTTTGACCTGTTTTAAAAGATTTGCCTTCAGTGGTAACCGGTGGGCTTGGAGCTAAGTGCCATACAGCATATAGCAAAGTGCGCTAGTTATTAGGCTAATTTATGCAACAGGAAATGTCATAAGCACATGCTAATAACGTTAGCATGTTGTATATGTGAGGTAAATGTGTCTAGTATAAGACAATTGTTTTGTCTGTGAACTTTGTGAATAATAATGGAGCCGAACTTTGTAACGTTACATTTGCTAAATGCTGCTGATGTTCGCAGCTTAATAGAGGAAAAGTCTGCTAGTTACAAGGCCAATTAGGCTTTCACTAATAATGTTAGCATGAGTTATAATGGAACCAGACTTTTCACCTTTGTTTAATATTGTCGCTATTACGCCATGTTTTATGTGTTTTAGTTGAATCAATCAAACACAGTGGCATAGAAACCCACCGCCACCTAGCGTTTTGGAGGTATAATTGCAGAATGTCACAGACATGCCACCGCACAAGTATAAATACTGTCATTGGTAAAGGCCAGTTGCTGAAACATTCAGCTGATGTGACTCTCTTCCTTTCTTCTTCTGTCTTTCATTCAGGAGTCAGGAGAGTTTGCTGAAGGCCTCCCTGCCCGGACTCTACCGCTCTGAGTCTCAGCTTTACCCACACGTCGTCCTGCAGAGGGTCCCGACTCCAACAGCGCCTTCTGCCCCTTCTGCTCCATCTGCCCCCCTCTACCTCCACCTCCCCGCCTCCTCCTCCTCTGCTTCCTCACCCGTCCATGCAACCACCCACGGTCAGCCTCCCATGATGCCGCAGTATCCTACCCCGACGTACCCGCCCAACCCCAACACAGCTGTGCCCCCCTACCCAACACCGGCGCCTATCTACCCCAACCCCAATCCAACACCACAGAGGCCATGGCAGTAGCTACACCTTCCCCTACACATAGTTAGTGGGCGCTGTGCCGTCCCTGTTGAAGACGTCGGAGGGACAGATTCACAGACACATTTTGGGGACACGTGAAATCTTTTTACTCTCCCTCATTCCTGTTTTCTCCCACTGAAGGCTGCAGGTGCAATGATCAACACGGACACAAAGAAAACGTGTACAACTGGAGCTGCAGCCAGTTTAGAAGCCCCCTCTGTTACTGCATGCTTGCTGAACTTCTCCTGCATTTTGGACTTAACAGGAACTGGGCACTCTAGATTTTTCTTTGTCCTTAATTCTTACTGAACTGCTGCTGCTGCTGCGCTCTCCACAAGAGGAGATCTATGGAGAAAGTTGTGCTTTTTTAGCCATCAGATATTACAAGAAAGCTTCGAGTAGCCAGTTGACAAGGGAACACAGGGAGTTTAACTCTAAGGTATACTAATTTGGCTTAACCATTGATGTTAATGAAGGTTTTGAAGGATTATAAAGGACTTTGACTGTGGCCACCACCATTTAGGCAGCTGAAATCTCCCAGCAGTGTAAGCGTTTTTTAATAGTTTATTGGTAAGAAAAAGATTCCTATCAGCCTTCCTAAAGTCTATATAATCTAACCTTGACAGATATGTATAGTATACATATATACAGTTTATTTTTGCTTTGAAACTAAAGACTTAACATACATTTCTTATATCTCATGTGTGATGTGACAAAAGACTTAGTCTCTTTACAGCTCTTATTAATATGCCCTGATATTTTCCCACACTGTGAGGAGAAAACAGACTGATGATGGGGCTTTATGGGTAGCAAACACACTGTGATTAAAAAGCATCTGTTGCTGTAGCCACTGAATGCAGCCAGTGATATGGTGTTTGTATGGATTTCATGATACAGTCATTGTTTTAAATTGATCATTTCTTTCTCGCCAGAATTGTTGACGAAATGTAAAAAAAAAAAAAAAAAAAAATCGTGTTTATTTTTCTCTGTCTGTACTGCCATAACTCATTCTATCACCAAAAGCTAAAGCATTTTGGCAAAGTCATTCATGACCCCTGATGGATTTAGGAACATGTAGGGTATACATGTCTAAAATACTGACTGGAAATCTGAGCGGGGTCTAATGATAATTGCAAATAATTATCACAGCTTCAATTAATTATAGGCTAGTTTGAGCCATAGGTTCAGATAGTAACTTGAAAACTGATTTTTAACTTCAAGACAACCTCTTGTGCGATGTAACTAAGGTTCTCTGTGTGTAGCAAACATAAGGAGGTCAGACACACTGTGAGACTATTTTGTCCCTGATGCACTGGAAACTGCACAGAAAATGCACTGATAAGTCTGAGCAGCGAGATGGAGAAGCTTCCGGACCATGTCGACCTATAAACTCTGATTCACTTGAATTCTCTAAACTTCAGCTGCAGTTGTGCAGCTTTACAGCAAATGTTGAGATTGCTCCTAATTTCATTTTTTAATGAATAATCAACCTTTATTTTTCCCTTGGTCTACTGTATGTTCATGCATTTTAATCCTTAACTTTATCCAAGAGCCCTTTACTGTTGCTACTCTAGCTGTGGGGCTGTCTTTATTTTTAATAGAAGGACTTGAGTAGACACACTTACAAATCTGCACTTTACATTTTTTTGAAGGGGGGTTGAAACAGCTTGGACTGGACAGTCCTCAGTATTTCTTTTACTGTAAACTATTTGTTGTATAATAATAAGACTGCCATAAAAGCTGAATAAAGAGACTTTTGTTTAGTTGAACGGATCAGCATGCGTTTTCAGTGTGTGCTTTTCTGACTGATTCAGAGAGGAAGAGGAGGGAACTAGATAAAGAAAGGAAGGAAATAGACAAAGGAAGAGGGAGAAAGAGGGACAGTCAGGAAATTCAGAGGAAGATGGACCTAATTCATCACAGCGTCCTGACAGCTGAAAATGATTAGATGACCTCATTTGCCTGCAGAGCGGCACTGACACATGAGGAAGATGGAGTGGTTTGTCTGTTCACACTGGACTTGAGTGACAGGAAAGGAGATCTCAGATGGCGATGACAGCCATCTCTCATACTTAAACCTAAATAAAAGATGTTTGATGCTATTACGTGGGTTGAAAGGTTGATGTAGCAGCAAACATCTTTTATTTAGGTTTAAGTATGAGAGATGGCTGTCATACTTAAACCTAAATAAAAGATGTTTGATGCTACATAAACCTAAATAAAAGATGTTTGATGCTATTACGTGGGTTGAAAGGTTGATGTAGCAGCAAATAGAGAATTAGGTACTGTAACAGATGCTGGCTTTAGTTCACTGGCTGGGTCTCTGTAAAATTACTTGTTACTAGTTAATAGGGATTACAGCTGTAAATGAGCTTATAGCTATCTTGAATGCAGCTAAGAAGTTGTGCATTGTTCCTGTCAAATAAACAACTCAAAACAACTGAAAAGGAGAAGAAAATGTGTGGGGACCAGCAGTTTGGTAATGGAGGTGAAATATGCAACCTGGCCTCAGTATTGCAATTTAGTGAGAGGAAGATCATTTTAAAGTTTGGCAACATTTAATTCATGGGAGGTTACTTTTTTCTATCAAAAGAAAAAAAGTCAAATTTAATAATATTCACATAAAACAGCCCAGCCATCAGAAAAAAATGTTGGCATTGACGGTATCTGCAAACTACTGATATTTATATTTCATACATTGTATCATATAATCCCTGTATGACGAAAGTGAGAGCTGCGTCTGCATACTCAGCGTAAAGTCAAACACGTTCTCGGTGGGTGTTGGCCTCCATAAGGGTTGTCCCTTATCAGTGATTCTGTTTGTGATATTCATGGACAGGATTTTGAGGTGCAGCAGGGGGAGAGGAAAGGGTCTGGTTTGGGGACCTCAGAGTTGCATCTCTGCTTTTTGCAGATGATGTGGTTCTGTTGGCTTCATCAAACCGTGACTTCCAGCATGCCCTGGGGAGGTTGCAACGGAGTGTGAAGCAGTTGGCATGTGAGTAAGATGGATCAGAGTTTAGGTGCTGTGTCTGCAGTGATGTGGGCGCTGCATCGGACTGTCGTGGTGAAGAGGGAGCTGAGCCAAATGGTGAAGCTTTTGATTTACTGGTCCATCTACATCCCAACTCTCACCTACGGTCAAGAGCTCTGGATAGTGACCGAACAAAAGAGATTGTGAATACAAGCGGCCAAAATGAGTTTCCTCTGTGGGGTGGCTGGGCTCAGCTCTAGAGATAGGGTAAGGAGCTCGGACATCCGGATGGAGCTTGGAGTAGAGCCACTGCTCCTTCACGTTGAAAGGGGCCAGTTGAGGTGGTTCAGGCATCTGATCAGGATGCTTCCTGCACGCCTCCTGTTAGAGGTGTGCTGGGCACACAGATGGATGGATGGATGGATGGATGGATCTCCAGCCTATTGTCCTTTTAGACCAGCAACTATTGGACTCATTCTTCAAATAGTATTCTTTTAAATGTCCCCAGGGTGCATTCAGGGCTTGGTAAAACTGCTTTCTCTTCTTATGCACCCTGGGTATGGAATAAGCTCCAAAATGTTGTTACCTTAGAGGTGCTCCCCTCCTTTAACACTTTTAAGTCTTTCAAAAACTGCCTTGAAGGAAACATGTTGCTGCTTTATATACTCCTTGACCTAGGTGGGATGTGTATGGATGTCACTGGTATGGCTCCCTTCTCCTTTACTACTCTCCCCTTTATTGCTTTATGTATTGTACAGTATGTGTTTAACTGTGTTCCTTTCATTTTTCCCCTGTTAAAGAGTTTTTGTTTTTTTTCTTGTCCACTGTGAGGGTCCAAGGACAAAGGGTGTCATATGTTGCAAAGCCCTCTGAGGCAAATTGTGATCTGTGATATTTAGCTATATATTGAAAAAACAAATTGACTCGAACAGTTGAACAGATTACATTTTTAAAAGAGTAATAGTTGTTACAATCTTTGACTAAATAAGAGTGATGGACAACACTTTCAAACAGTAGCACGTATAGCTAACCTTTTGGGAGTTATCAAAGATTTAACTTTGATAATGAGAACTGTCCCCATATAGAAAGAAAGACAGGAGTGAGCTGCAGATCTTTTGGGTCCTCTCACCTACACAGGAGACCATGAGCATGCTCTGTGTGCAGGGGAAAACTGGCAGTAAAATAAGGCAGGCAGACTGCAGCAATGCAAATCACCTATACTGCAAAGAAAAATACATTTTTGCATTTATTGGTGGAAAATCAACACTAAACACCTGCTCATTTGTTTCGTCTACCCTATAGATAGCTGTGCGTGTGTGCGTGTGTGTTTACATCATATGTTTTGAGGGCTGAACTGGCTTTCAGTTGCAAGTAACAAGAACTGTGAGAGACAAGAGGGGAAAGACTTACACAGAGGTAAGTTGGAGTCTTCTGTTTAGCTTTGGCTATGTTTAATTTAGTTATGCATAAAATACATCTAAAATGAGTTTGCAATGGCAACTTAAATACATTTCAATACCTTATATTTATATACCAGTTTTTGTGTATACTTTAATAATACCATCTTAAAGGGCCAGTTCACCCAAATTACAACTAAACATATTTTCTCATTTACCTGTGGTGGCAGCCATGCAAATGGTTTTGGCTGTATTTCTCCAGGTTCTGAGATGTCACCCTCTGAGATTTATGCCTCCAACCTAAAACAAAGGAGTTAAACAGAGTTTTATTTGTAGTTTTCACAGCTTTGAAAAATGACATTTAAAGAATTGAACAGCAACCGCTATTTCCAGAAACAGTTACCTCGTTACTCTAATTACTGCACTTATTCCACCTTTGTGGTGCAAATGAGGCAATGGAAGCAAAGAACAAAACAGACATCTGGTGAAAGTCTGAAAATACCCTGAAAACTCAGCGGGATGTTCCACAGTATGACTCTCTGTGTGCTCAAAGACACTTCTACTTCCAAAAATAATCCTCTCATTGTGTTCAAGAGCCTAATGCATGGCAGAAACAAGAGTCTGAGAGAGTTTTAAGGACGTTCAATTTTAGTTCAATTCTACCAATTCAAATACAGTTACAGGGGTCATAAGTAATGTATCTCCTCTTACATTATAAATGTCAAGCACAGGATGAAGTCAAATGTTGATGTTCGTTCTCTTTGACTTGGGAAATTTTGTCTAGGTGTGACACTCCTTCAAAGATTGCCAGCAGAGCACCTCCTGAGATACTGAGCAACATGATCACGGCAAAGGATAAGTTTATTACAGATATCTTCAGTAGGTGTCACAAAGAGGGTTGGGACAACATGTGGTTTGTCTCTGACATCCTTACCCTGGTCACAGGGGTGGTGGCTAACATTGCCCTGCTTTGGCTATTTCTAAGGGACAGGAAATCAATGTCTGCCTCAAAGGTAGGTACATCACCGGGTTTGAAGTATTTTATTTATGTTATGCAACAGGTAGTTTCAGATATGGGTTATCCAGCCCAGTCAGAGTAAAAGGTGATTGCATCAGGTTGCCATTGAAGAACAACTAAAAACATAACATATATGACACCACTCCCAAAATTTCACCTACCTAAACCTATTCCTTTGTCTTTCAGGTTCTAGGTCTGAATCTTGCTGTGATGGATCTTATCTTCCTGTCTATAATGCCCCTCTGCTTGATTCAAGACATTGCGAGTTATACCCGAGTCAACAGTAATCATTCAGGTGAACACCACCAGAGATTAGTCATGAAGCTGACCATTACATTTTTACATTGCCATGATTTTTCTTAGGTGAACTTGGTTGTGTGATTATGCACCTTTGACCAATTGCTGACTGTCATGTCAGTGCTGACGTTTGAGTGAATGGAGAACCAGAGAGTCTAAAATAAAAGAAGTATCATATTAACAGTGTTGGGTTGTATTAATAAAGCCCTGCCCAACCAGAATGGAAACCACACTTGAAAAGACACAGTTTAAAATCCACTTTTTTCCCTTACCCTTAGATTGGACCCAAGTGCACAAAGTTGAGAATGTAGCAGCGTGATTTCAGTGATTGATTGAAAATAGCTTACAGGCAGAGAGTTAAAATGGCAGTAGGTCCAGCAGGCAGGTAACAGCAGTGAAACAAGAACTGACAGAGGAACAAAGACACAGGACTGGTATTTGTAGAGCTGTAACTAATTAGAGGGAACAGGAAGAAGGTGGGTGATTGGGTGAAGCAGGGTACAAGGTGGGTGGGGAAGGACAAACTGAGCAGATTAGGAAAGTGGGAACAGGTGTGTAGATCAGTGTGGCAGGCAAGTGATGGGGAATTGAGGGAAAGGCAGAGAGCTTCTCGAGGACAGATGGAAAATGGCAAGGGTCCTTGAGAATAGGACAAAATATGGCTGAAGAGAGGGGCAGAGGGCCAGAATAAGAATTAATATGCACAGGTGAGGCAGACTTTGTGACACATTAGCAAGCCAGCTGGCTTGGTGGACTATCATGGCTGACAAGCATTAGCTTGTTCACAGCTAGCTAAAATGTTAAATGTGGTTTGCTGCTAAGCTACAGTAATTTGCCAAACAGCCAAACAAGTAGTCACTATAACACAGAGCTTTTAACCACTCGAGTTTTGTGAAAATGGTAAGATTTTCACGGTCAGATTTGATAAGAAACCTGGCACATTTTGAGCATGTATGTATGTGGGTTAATTTTTCTTCCCCAACCAGTAAAATGTAAAGCCACAATTACCTACTTTTTTTCAGCAAACTTACTGGTCCTCCTGTTGGAGCAACGTCCTTGTGTTCTTTGGACTGAGACTG